TTAGCACCTGGATTTGTTTTTGATTTAAGGATGTTTTTTATTTGTTTTAATTTAGAAATGATAGATTCTACAGTAGATGTTGTTTCATTTTCTAGTAATACAATTAATAAGAAACATCCTCTATTACATTCTATCCATTCCTCTATAACGTTTGGTTTTAAATAATTAAGTAATGCTTCTCCAAACGTGCTCTCACCTTTTTCTTGCAGCTCTTTATCGTTCTGTATAAGTTTTTTCAACATCATGTGTAGTCCTGCATGTTCGACTAATTTATTTTCATTATCTCCTTCTTTAATCTTTAACTTCGGATCAGTGATGAACTTAGCGACAGCATTGAAAGCTTCGTTCAATTTTACTCCATTGCCTATTTTTAGTATTGCTAATGTTACCATTGCGATCGAACTATTGGACATCCATACGGAGGTGTTTGTAGTTATAGCTTCAAGAAGTTGTTCAGAAACTGATTCGCGAAGTTCTTTCTCTCTTATATCAGCTGACTTTTTACTCGCTGCATTATTGTCTCCTTGCTCCAAGTATTTCACAATATCGGGAGCAAAATAATGAGAATTTCTTCGAGCTATTAAATATAGAATTACGCGTTTCCCATTATCGTTTAATATTATATCAGTCAAGTTATTCAATATTTCTGAGAGAATGATTTTCCTGACTAGAACAGTATCATCTACCGAATCAAACAATGCTAATAATATTAAATATCCATGCTCAGACATTGAAATATCTTTTACATTGTCCTTCAGAGATTTCATGATGATTTTCCGATCTTTGCTAGTACCATGCCATATACAAATTGCAGCAACTTTCGAACCAAATTTCGTCTGAGACAATTCTACTATTGAACTCTTTAGCATAGCTATTATTTCTGTTCTATCCTCGGTAGTACAATTTTCTAAAAATTCCAGGAGGATACAATGTACAAGAGTACAATTCAAAAGCTTCTTATTCAATATCCTCATCAAATTTCCTTTCACTGCAGATAACGTTGCTGTTTTCATGTCTTTGGCTGTTTTATACACGTCAGATAAAGTCCTAATAGTGTTATCCTTAGCTTGTTTATACATATCGCCATAAAATTCCTGCTTCAGAAATCTCTTGTCTTTTTCCGTTGCATGCGTGGAATACATGATCTCCAACAATGGTGCAGACACCGAATGGCTCACTAGTTTGACTACATTGCCATAGCAGGCAGAAATAATCTCTCGTTTCATTTCTTGTGAACCATATTTCAACATAGTTTTAATACAATTCTTTGCATACTTCGACTCTATCATAGATGACAGACAGGGCTTCAACTCATTAAATATCGCCTGTCTAATATCTGCTTCCGAATATTTAAACATCCATTGAACGATCCGCGATAAATCATGTGTTAGAATAACTCTGTTATAATTATTCTTCAATAAATCATGTGCCTTCGTAGTTAATTGTTTACGGTCTAGTTTTGTAGTGTCAGATCTACGTAACTTTTCACCGATCTGTTTTACTTGAAGCGATAGATCGTAAATACTGCTGAGACGTTTTGCTTTATATTTCTCTTTCAGTTCTTTCTTCTTTTTCTTGAATTCAAGCCAGTTAGGTTTTTCCATAGAGCCATTCTTCAGGTCTTCTTTTGCGCTTTTAATAATACGGTTTTTCTTGATATCCCTCGTCAAAGTCTTCTCATATTTTCCTCCCTTTTCTTTACTGATAAATTTATCAGTTTTACTTCTTTTATTCACACCGTTTACATTAACGTCGGTTTCTATTTTACTTTTATGTGTGTCAACTGCAGGAAAGTGTCGTTTAGGCATTGTGCAAGAATTCTTTCTGAAAAGGATTTGAAAAGAAGTTTAATTGAAACAGAAACAAAAATTTAATTTATTTTGTTACTGATTATAGAAAATATTGTTTGGACAACTTTTAATACTCAATAACATAGCCTACAAACAATGATTATTTTTATATAGTATTACTTCAATTTACTTACAGTTAATCTTGATAATTATTCACTAGCCGAAACTCCTAAAACTGTATAATCTTCTCAATTTACATAAGGAATAAATCGTGACGGATAACAACTGTTGATTATACTAAACGCACCAAACACGTGCATGCATGCCGTCAATGCCCATGCAGTGATGCAGTAAGCATGCGCAAACGGACGCCCAAAGAAGCGGTCTNTTGATAGATCGACGTACTATTTAAAGCACAAAAATGTTTAAGTAATGAACTTCTCTTGGTACCGTTTCCAAAACATATACTTTCAGACAGATAAACTGGACTATTTTTAAATGTAATAATACAATACAGATAATATATTTTCAAATAGATATTTTTATTTGGAATGGAACGTGCACGATGTAATACAATATATTTCATACAAATTCATTTACAGATTTAGCGTTTTGGGTCTTTTGCACACGCTGGTTGTTCCTTTATAGTTTTCGCACTTTTCTCGCGCGGGCTGTGTTGGTAAATGCCCGGATGCGCTGTCTTTTCCGAGCAACCACTTCTCGATTTTGGTTTCTGCTTGCACTTCCCGCTGGATATTCGTCGAACAACATCTTCGATGAATCTCTGATCTTTCTCGTTCATATCAATCGTCAAACTATTTCTTTGACATCCCTCTTGTCCTCTATGATTAAAGTAATTGATATTCTTCTTTATTTTCAACAGAAATCATATTGAAAAATTTAATACGTAAGTGGCAACCGGCATACAAAATGTTGAGCACTCAGTTTTCCCCTCGTCTAGCTAATTCTCTTTTCACAGAATTGTTGTATATTCATTCCATTAATATAGGCGTAATACTTTATCTAGAATATCTTGAAATTTATCTCTCACATGGAGAGAAGGTATTTGGAGAAGTACTTCAGTAAAAAGCAGGTCTTAAATAATTTGGATTTTTAAGAAGAAATTATGAGAGAACTATTTTTCCCAGAGAACATTACTTTAAAGCATCGTTTAGCGAATTTTCGGTTGATTCGATCGAAGGATAATATTGAAACGGAATTTCCGGTGCGTTTAACGCCCGGATCTGTACAGTTCAGCGAGAAATATAAGAGCAGAAAGGTGAATCCTAAAGCGTGGGAGGAAGCTCTCATCTCGTTAGGCGAAATTTGAAGCGACATTCTCGGCGGTACATTACGGCGGGCGTTCCGCTAATGAAACGACTAAAATGCGGAGAGTGTAGCCCGCTTTAAGCGATAGCGGGGAAAAAGTGAGAACTTTACGTTAAGCGGATCCAACGATTTCCTCGTTCCCCTTTAATATTGCTTCTAACCATGTTCGTTGATTCATTCTCCGATTCTGCGTTTATTACACGTGTCAAATTCTCTTAAAAAATAATAAATTGAAATTGTATTTTGATCACCTTTGGCAATTGTTATATAGCTTCGCAATCAGCTTGCTCAAATTCACATTTTCCTTCTGAAGCGATCTTAACTCCGATTCTTTATCCTGAAAAAAATTCGACATAAAAATAATCGCCGACGGTGAATACTAAATAATGATTCATTGTAAGCGCTTATTAAATACTTAATTAAAAAGTATCACCGTTAACGTGTTTGTTATGGCTTTCAGTTCTTCGTAACGCGTTTCGGAAAGGTGACGAGCAGTGATAGTTTCCGTGGTCAGTCGAGTCAACTGTTGCCTGTAATTTTGCTCGCGTTCCATCGCCTTGTCCCATGCTTCCTCCCGAGCTATTATCGTGTCTCGAAGCGTCTGCATATCTTTCTCCAACACCTCCAATTCTGATCTAATGAGAATGGAAATCCTTTGATATTTTTTATCGCTTCAATGGCAATGACTACTTGAACATTGTTTCTATTCTTTTATTGTATAACCACGAGTATATGATTCATCCAACGATTTACGATAATATTTCTTTCGGAACGTTTATCGGATTTTTTATACACAACGAGAATTTATAGTTTTACTTAGTGATGGTGACAGTGGGTGGTTGCTTCTCACAGCTCTCCAACTTCCTCTCACAAGCTGCACATACTGCCCAGATCTGCACCCCGCGGTCAGCTCTCGGTACAACGTTCGTGGTCGACGTTCCGTTCGCTTCCATGATCGAAACATCCCGCTTCTGAAATTCCACAACTAATTTCATAGAGCGAATAGACTAGATATTTGATTACATACTCGGGATTGTTCTGCTTCCTTCACTAGATCTTCGATTTTTAATCTCGAGGAAGCAACTTCCTCCTGCAGTAACGCTATTCTCTTCTCCAGCCTGTTTATCTCATTCCGATCTTCCTTCAATCTTGGAAATTCTTTATCCTGAAAAAAATTCGACATAAAAATAATCGCCGACGGTGAATACTAAATAATGATTCATTGTAAGCGCTTATTAAATACTTAATTAAAAAGTATCACCGTTAACGTGTTTGTTATGGCTTTCAGTTCTTCGTAACGCGTTTCGGAAAGGTGACGAGCAGTGATAGTTTCCGTGGTCAGTCGAGTCAACTGTTGCCTGTAATTTTGCTCGCGTTCCATCGCCTTGTCCCATGCTTCCTCCCGAGCTATTATCGTGTCTCGAAGCGTCTGCATATCTTTCTCCAACACCTCCAATTCTGATCTAATGAGAATGGAAATCCTTTGATATTTTTTATCGCTTCAATGGCAATGACTACTTGAACATTGTTTCTATTCTTTTATTGTATAACCACGAGTATATGATTCATCCAACGATTTACGATAATATTTCTTTCGGAACGTTTATCGGATTTTTTATACACAACGAGAATTTATAGTTTTACTTAGTGATGGTGACAGTGGGTGGTTGCTTCTCACAGCTCTCCAACTTCCTCTCACAAGCTGCACATACTGCCCAGATCTGCACCCCGCGGTCAGCTCTCGGTACAACGTTCGTGGTCGACGTTCCGTTCGCTTCCATGATCGAAACATCCCGCTTCTGAAATTCCACAACTAATTTCATAGAGCGAATAGACTAGATATTTGATTACATACTCGGGATTGTTCTGCTTCCTTCACTAGATCTTCGATTTTTAATCTCGAGGAAGCAACTTCCTCCTGCAGTAACGCTATTCTCTTCTCCAGCCTGTTTATCTCATTCCGATCTTCCTTCAATCTTGGATATTATTCAAAGCCAATCGACAACGAGTTATTAATTAATTATTCACATCAAAACTTGTTTTTCTTATATTTGTAGTAGAACTTCTCGATTTAGTACGATCTGCGTATTTGTGCAATGATGAGGATCATTGATACTCACTGAGCCGCGAGGGCTTTATTCTCGGTTATGAGATTCTGATTGCGCGTCTGCATCACGATATTACTGTCTTCGAGGAACTTCATCTTGGTTTGGATCTTCTCGAGGGGGACACCACCGTCTCCGTGTTTCACCGTCTCGGCCTTACAGTTAGTATACGTCGGTGTCATCCTTTCGGTCTGCATTCGAGTGTCCCCGTACGGTGAGTCGCCCCTCGCTGGGTCAACAAGAATTTTAATTAAAATTCGACTTTCTTCACTTGCGAAGCATTCGTTTCATAAAAATTTTTAAACAGTTAATCACTTATGATCATGCATCAAGCTAACTTCTAACGAGTTTTACTACGCCTTGCTCATACCCTGCTACCTGCCCATGAATATTGAATACTTGCTTTAAAACTAAAGTAATATATTTAAATAAAATTATTTAATATTCTACTTTTTCTTTAAATCATACGGCCAGTTTTTTATCCGTTTTTCAAATTATGCATATTTTTAAACTGTTCTAAATACCATACAATTTTTACACTGTTGAATTGACCAGCGTTGAAAATATCTAAACGTATTCACCCTCGGTGAGAGAATTAATATCACTCGTGTTGAAGACAGCTCGTGCGAAAAATGTCTGGAGAAAGTAGGGTAGAAAGCAGTCGATGGCAGGCTGGGTATAAAACCATTACTCGACGTCAAGCTGACATTTCAACTTCTATCCCTTTTTCCATAGACACCAGCAAAAATATAAAGCCTTAGCTTTAGCTTTCGACATAGTGAACAATCGTCTAGAGTATATTAAATATTTCAATTTCTACTCACTACCTCATTGAGTTTGTATAATTAATATTGTTAAATAAAAAGATAAACCAATGAGTAGAAATTAGGATATTTCTCTTATCGTTTGAATTTTCTTAAAGTATACCAAAATTTCAAGATTTGAACCTCAAAAGTGGGAGAATAACAAAGTTTCTGCTTTGAGGATTTCAATTTTACCTGTTGTGAGAGTTTCCGCGTTGCCTTGAAATTCCAGTGGTCTCCATCCCGCGCAATACCCTGTTCAAAGTTCATCGAAATTAATTTTTAAACTCAGTTTAAGTACGTAAGTACGTAAACTCCATTCAAATTCTCAGGATATTTCCAAATGTTTCTCGCTTGTTAGAAAAAGATGTGAAAGGTATGAGAATGTTGTTCGGTCTGAACGTTTATAAAAAAATTTGATGACTATTTCATCAGGAAGTATATCAGTCGATAAATGGCTAAATAAATTATTCGCTTGAACTCTTTACCGCTTCTGAATGGCTCGGCAGTTCTGATCCGCGGGGAGTAGGTGGGAACCGCGTAACGATTGTACGGAGTATCATAGTAACTTCTCTCCTTCGGCGGGTTTGACTGCTGATAGTGGACGCAGGACATCCCGACGGATACTCGAGACACCGTCGCCCAACTGTTCCTATGTCTGCACGATCAATTTCACGTGAAATTGATCGAGCAGATCTACCGCGTGACCTGGGTCACAAGAAATCTTCTCCGCCCGGTGATCCTTCACATAATATCGTGCGAGCAACGATTTTAAAGCGGAATGCAAAAGTTGGCGAGTGACAGACGCGATCTCATTACCCTGAAATTTTCTCTGACCGCCTCGTGCCATCGAGCACGTTTTGTTAAACATGGAGATAAGTGTTTTACTTCACGCTCTGAAAAAAGTGTCATGAAATTCTACAAATTCCAGATTGTTCTCCCATCTCCAGGAAATCCTTCGTCATTCTTTGCTTTTTTGCTGATTCATTCATTTGGTTCTTTGTACCGAATCTATATTGTCTCGTTTTTTAATCTGCTTATGAAATTGCGAAAATTTCAAACTGTTTTCTCCATGTTCAGAAAATCTCTTTTAATTTCGCAATTGGATAAAGGTGTTCTCCGTTTCGGTTCTTGCTTCTTCGTTAAAATAGTTTCAAAGCTTCTGTCCGTGTGTCTGTTACATCAAAAGCTTAATTAAGTTTACTATTTGAGAGTGAAACGCGGAGTATATCACGTCGACGGAAGTACTCGGCGAGGTGAAACGGAAACGCGTGAAAATTCTTCAAAGGGAGCGATTTGTTACAAAGCGAAATCCTGGCGTTTTAATTGGTTTACGATAAGCTACGAACCGATCCTGAAGATGCAGGAAAAGTTTCTTTTCATCTCGATTCGAGAAGAAGTTCCTCTAAGGGGACATCCTAGAGCAAGTAAATTGGTAAGGGTATAAATCGGAAAAAATTTTATCTTTTTCTCTTTTATACATATGTATTGTTTCATACAGAAAACCATGTCACGTAGTTTATTAACTTTTTTCCTGATTTATATTCTTGCCACTGTAAATGAAGAAAAGTGGAACGATGATGTCTCTGACTTATCGCGGCGCCAGTGGTTTTACAACTGGTACAACCTAGGCCGTAAAAGGAAATGGAAGAAATTTTATTCGGTACCTTCCGCGTGATTTGCACGCGTGCGTGGCACATCTCGTAAATTCTTTACGAGCTCGGAAACAGGAAAGACAGGGACAGTCAGAAAGCTCATATCATGAATTAACCCACGAGTTAGGCGCGTCGACTGTGGAAGGGGGAATGTGTCCAGTAATCATGCGATAGTATGTAGTAATTAAGTGGTTCGTATAATCAGAGTTGAGAGGTAATCTCGCACCAACTGCGAGAACTGATTCGTATAAAAGTTGAGTGAATTTTTAAATTGTTCGTTCTTTCGTATGGAAAATCAGTCGACAATGATTTATTGGCAACAGTAACGTATTCCCTAAGTGAATTTCGAAAGTGCTTCAAATTAATTATTAAGAAACGCGTTTGGTGGCTTTGGAAGTTAGGTACAAAGGAATGTGTAATAAAATACGCGTTTGTCGTGGACGAAATTTATTCGATAGTATGTACAAATCGTTTTACACCAGTGAAAATATGTGTATATCACTTTGGACTTCCCTGTTTCAATTGGACACAATAAAAATTAATGAGACTGCGGACTTTTATGCGAACTGAAACTATATTTATTTTACTCTTCAAAAATAATGATGTGTATTATACTTTTGACGCTGTGTTCTCGCATATTGCGTACATTTTCGATCAAATCTGCAGTCTGCTAATAATTCAGAAATTCGCTTACAATTGTCAAATGATTTCAAAAGCATCACGAATAACGTGAAAGTTACAAACGAGATTTACTGTACACTTGAATCGCGATAGTAGAAAGGGTTGAAAGCGAGAACAGATTTTCTCTTTTATATTTATTGTTGCAAATTAAAATCGTTAACAGAATTTCGTTAAAGGTTCGTTATTAAGGGGATGTTTCGATTAATCTGTGCTAGGTACAAAGATAATTTAATTTCGTTATACAAGTCGTACATTTTATCGGTTCTAACAAAATTACCCGGTCGCGCATGGATGGAATACATGAATATATTACACATTTATGATTACACGCGTGTCTGCGACATACGTAAGTACGTGTGTACGTATGTATACAAAACTACCGTTCATTCGCTATGTATATATGTACATGTATACTTTGAGCGTATCATTTTCCACGTAGGCTGATCGATTGCCGATCTTCAATGTTTCTTTCATCCTTCTTAGACAGTTTTCAACGGCTTCGTTAGGGCGGAATTTGTTTAACCAACTGCGACGTACTGTTACGAATTATTCATATAATTCCTGTTTCAACTAATGTATTCTCTCTCTTTTCAATTTGACTGGAGGATGAAAAATACATTCGCGGCCCACGACGTCGCCTCAAATACTGATAACACACGTAAATGCGAGCATAAAAAACTTATTTTATTAACAACTTAATGCGGCCTCCTAAATTATGCTTTCCATCACGATCCCCGATTCCTTAATACATTGTATAGGAAGAAATCAACATAATCCACCTTCTCAAGCCTTTTACCGTTAATACATAAATAATGAAGACAATAATTTACTTACGACATGATTATTTTGAAAATACAAGGAATATGATGTAATAAAATGCAAGACTGAAAAAGAGCGTACGTGACTCTATACATATTGAAAGGGGAATGTAATAGATCAGACATAATTTCGAAAGCTCTTAATACTTGTGGTCTCATTAGGAGCTCGGGAAGAGCCATTAGGCAGAAGAATTTTAGATTTATCAGATTTCGTAGTCTTTACACCAAAGATACCATCACTTGTTTCCTGGTAGTGGAGTGTAGCATACCGATGTGACCGCTTCGTCTCGAGGACTGCGCCGTCAACGAAGTAGTCACCGTCGTCCTCGTATTGCTGTTCGGACCACCAGTGCCGAAACAGTGGTGAGGATTCGTCGCGCACCAACTGGAAACCCATGAAATCGCCTGCGTGTTCCTATCCGAGTCATTGTAAATTAATTAGACTGTGTCAATTACGTAATGAACGATTTGCTGAAAAAATGCTCACCGTACGGTTTTACAAAACGATGTACTAAACAGACAATATATAATTGGATTCGCGGCCGAGTTTAGAGGTGTCAAACTCTGGATGAAAGTGGCCACGGCGATGTTGGTCTGCGTCTCTGGAATGTAGCCATAGACTTGCAGAAGATCGAACACTATGTACGGGCTCCAGCACAAAATGAATACTGAAACAATTAACACAGTAGGTGTAACAATGACGAGATTCAAGAATAGATGTCATAGAAACAGAATATATTTTTTTATAGAACGCTATACATAGGTTTTAGTAGAGGATAAATAAATAATCGTATCGCACCTAAATATTTCTTTACTCTTCAAGAAACAATTTTACTTTCGGTTCAGAACTGATTCTCAGACAAGTTTCTTAACGATTGTTTGTTTGCAAGAAGTCGAGTCATTCGAATCGCAAATGGCTGGTTGGAATATGTAAGAGCTTTCGATGAGCGAATGCGTTGTTACGTTGCATCTTGCCTGTCGTAGTCGATGAATGCTGTTATTGTTATTTGGAAACAGTGAATATCGGTCAATGGGTCGAATCACTTAAGACTTGAGTGAATGGATGTGGAAACATTGCGTCATTATAGAAGAGATAAAGTATTCCTACGATAATCGTGTAGTCGTCGGAATCGAACAGTCAAACTTATCCTGCAAGGAGTACGTAGATTCTGATGTTGATCTTACGTTTTCCCGAAAATATCAAAAGTAGAAAGAGGCATCGCGTGAAAGAGAAGAAGGGTTGCGCACGAGATAAAAATCTGCGTATGTTACACTGGCAACGCAACTGAAAAACTTCTACTACGCTTTCGATTTTTCAATGAAAGCACACATTAGATTTTGTACAACTTTTTTTTATAATTAAGAGAACATATAGCAAGTTATGCCATTTTATAGGTATCTCAGTGCACCGGAGGGAAGCATAGAAACGGGGTGATCTCCTTTGATCGGAACGGTCCCAGTCAGCTAAAAAAGGAGGAAGGTTTTGTCTCGACATAATTAGACCAAGCGATTCCTGGCGGCGCACGTAAACCCGTTCCCCGGAGGAATAAAGAGAAGACGATGGCTCTTTGAGTGAGCCAAGGATTCGAAACTGCTGCACACCGCTTGACAGATACGAGCCCGATCGTCCTCGTCGTTCTTCTTACCTTTGACATAAACAATTTCGATCTACGACGTTATTTTCTCATATCGGAACCTCTGACCCCACTTCCTACTGACGCAAAGCCCGTTCTTACTTTTATTCTATTTGGTAAAATTAATATCAAGATATTTCTTATATTTGATAGAAAGATACTTGATAGGATTTTCAAGGTAGAAGAATTCTTAAACACTTAGATATCCCATCAATAGGAAAATCTAATCCAATCTTTTATCAACCAGAATCAAATGTGATTCCATTACGTTTAATTATCTACAAATTTTGCATGAGTGTCGAACCCAGTGATACTGACTGTACACGAAACCCCAGATTAATTTGTTTGCGGTCTCATAAAGCTGTAACGCTTGAGAGAGGAAAGAAAATTGAATTCTTCTTGAAGGAAAGGTCTTTTCTGGGGTATACAAGTCTTCTTCCTCGTATCTCTGCGCGGTGATTCGTGAGCGAACTTCGCGAGAGGTCGAGAACCGTTTTCGCTTATCTCCGCCCTCCCGTAGCGTTTTTACACGGTGCAAATATAATCGTACAGGGAGATCGAAGGACGTTATTACGTTTTACTGGCGTCGATAAACGCGGCTTCAATCGTTTTCAACTTTTTCTCGTTTCTAACTTCAACCATTCATGTGCTTCTTCATCTTCGCACAATAATTCATATAATTATTGTTGTAATGTTTAAAATTTTCGATACAGTGTTTCATATAATGATTGATACAATGATTGAATATATTTTCTTTGTGAAATATAAAAATCGTTTCGTTATTAATAATAATCAACATATTAATACCCGTGACCCAAGTTGAGTTAAGAATTTGCATTATCGTCCTTCATGGAACACAAATTTTCCCATTTAAAGCAGACGGAGACGGATTTACGAGCGTAGTTAAAACGGTTCTAAACAAAATGTTCGGATCTGTAGGAGCTATTAAAGTGTACTCACCGAATACTATGACGAGAGTCATTTTGACCGTCTTAACTTTGGCTCGGGGAATAAGTCCACGGGACGAGGCTCTCCTGGTGTCCCTGGTGGGTCCCTGACGTAACACTCCACTCTGCGACCATATAGTAGCTACGATCACAGCATAACAGCTCCCTATTATCAGAGCAGGGGCTATAAAGAGGGTGAAGCTGACCAGGCTCATGTAGATCCTCCACAGCATCGGAGAGCCGAGGTCTATCCAGCACTGTGTCTTCCCCTGGCAAACGACCCTGTCGATTACACTCGGTGCTGCGACCGATTTTACCAAAACTAGCTTTAACACATTTGCATCAGACGTCATTAAAAAATGAATATTATGTTTCATTGAATTGTTGTAAGGATTAATAAAATATTTGATAAAATTTACTTTTTAACGTTCTGAAATCAATGAAGAATAATGATATTTCATGTGTGTATACGTACAATGATGCAAATGGGTTAAATACCTCGGACGATTGATAATCAAATGGCACGGAAGGACGGAGACGATACTAAAAAGAATGAACAGATTCTTTCCTCGCGACATTAGCTATGAATGGGTTACAAGATTAGTTAAGCTCTATTTCATTTTTTATCACTGGCTGTAAAGAGTAACGACATTGGCAATTTACGAGATCAACGAAATTTCCTATAAAACTGCAGATTTTATGTACTGATAAAAAAATTGTGTCATTTATCAGTTTAATATCCAAATACATACAAAGTGGAGATCATAATTTTCAATGCTTAGAGATAATCCTTGTTTACTTTTAATTTTCTAATATATTGTATGGTTTGTCAAAAAAATCTGTAGCCTACGGGTAATTAGTACCTGTATAGGTTTCTCTTCGTAAAGGAAAATAATCGGCACGCTGAACAACGCTGATAGGCTCCAGGCAGCGACCACCAAAGCCCTGGCTCTCCACCCTGTGATTAAAGTTGAATTTCCGGTTTAAACTCGATTTCTCGTGGCTACGGGGATAGAGGGAAAGCGAGTTCGAAGGGTGAAGCAATTCTGAGAAGTAGTCGAACGTCCCGATGGTACGGGGTAAATGAACAGATGTAGGTCCGCGAAACTGTGACTTGGCCAACTTTTCTCGTTTCCCCGCACGCGAAACTTCTGCGGCAGCTGCCGGAGAAAAGAGAGAAAGAGAAAAAGGAAAGGATATCTGCGACTACCAGTCGCCATAAACAAAACTTTCAATCTCTCCCTCGTTTTAAAAATGGATGTGAGACGTTTCCACGTGTATTTATTTTAGACAATTGAAGACAATCGCTCATCAGGATAATTAAGAAATCTAAATTAATATTAAAAAATAGTTTATGTATTTTAATATGAAAATCTGAAATCTAAATATCGAAGCTGATTAGACATATAATATTCTGGTTGGATAATTGACAACACATAATTAAGATGGAATATGAATAATGCATGTAATATTTTGAAAAGATAAAAGAGATTTTCATCTACTTTTTTAACTCGCTATCACAATAGCTTACAGACTGCAACGAAGGTCGTTAGTGTAGCCGTGATCTATTTTAATTTTCGACTTGTATCAGTTTTTTATCGTGTTCGGCTGAACAAAATAAGAAACCGTTTGATGCTTAGCAGTCGTTCCTGACAGATTTATTCTACGTACGTTTACTGATTGCTGTTTTCGCAACAGTCTCTAGATCAGTCGCTGGTTTTGAATATTAGATAAAAATAACGTTCAGTAACAATTTTCGAATAATGAATCAAGGAACAAAGTGATGCTAATGCAATTTATAGTTTCGCGAAATGACGATGTCGTTCATTTGATATCACAGAGTTAATGGAACAGCGGAAGGTATGCTAGACATTTAATGAGGTTTTTTTTATTTCTAATAATAACTTTTTCCTCATTTTGATTACCGCTTTGGCCGCTGCCAGATACCGTTAGTTCTATGGGAGCTGAATAATTAATATTAATTTGCGTATTACCAATGAGAATGTGCCATTCTATGAGATTTCCCGACTCTGGGAACATTTAGTCTGTATATCCTTAGACTTAAGTGCATTGTTTTTTTTTGAAGTTTTTGTATCACTCTATTCTATAGTTACTGTACCTGAACTAATTAATAAACTTTCTTACCAAAAAAAAAAAAAAACAGCGGAAGGTCTTAGTGTAGCAGGATGATGTAGCTTGCCTTGTAATCAAACTAAAGCTAGGAGCTTTCAGTTCTAATCTGCGTACATTTCATACAGTTGATAAATTGTCTAAAATTATTCAGTAGTCATGGACTCATTATAAAGCTTCATGAAAATGCATTAATTTATTGTTACACAATTAATGATCTCCTTCGTGTAATCAATTCATACACGTTGTGTTTGTCAAAGTCATTACAGTCAATATTTCTTATAATACATCCCTCTGTGCATCTTATAAGAATGCAAAAAACCTGTACTTACACTTGCCGGTGAAATTCATGGGCCTAGTGATGGCATCGTATCTGTCAATCGACAAGGCGACGAGTACATATGTGGAGCTATAGGTAACGACGGCTTGCATGAACCTTATCAACTTGCAGGCGATGTTGCCCGCGTGCCAGGTTACCGTCGTCCTCCAAATTATATCCGTCAGCACGGATATTAGGCCGACCAATAAATCTGCAACAAGATATTCAACTCGCGTGATTCATCAACGATATTATTAAACCACGTGGCGAGCACTTCGTTTCAATGCGTTCTTCATTCAGCGGAATCTCTATTTTATTCATAATTCAGTCGATCAACACGCATAGCAGGAATATCAATCTGTGTTTATATTTCCTATTAAAGTCCGCAGCACAAGTGTCGTTCCTCGAGCAAATGACAAATTGTGAAAACACATGTTTCGCGAATGGTTTCGTGATTTTTCGTGACGAGGAAAGGATGCCATAAAGAAGTGGTTTAAAGGATATCGCATCGAGTGTTGCCAGTCTAGAAGTGCCATTCGGTTAGCCGTAAAAAAGACCCTCGAAAAGTGAGATTTCACCCTGCCGAAACGACCGGGTTCTCGCTCGTATATTTCCCCAGATATTGAAACTCGATTTCGGATTTATCACCCCATAATAACGCGGTCTGCGCCGGCTCTGAATCAAACCGATTTCGTATGTTAAGAGACGTTCAAACTTCACGATTCCTAATATAAAACTCGTGTGTACAGAATTCTCGATCGGTAGCATCCCACGGATTATTTTATGTATTTAGAAGAAATTGAGTCACGATTTAAGAAGATTTATAGATTTAATTTCATAAGTAAAGTTTTTTCTGTCATTTCTGATTGTCCAAATGGTCAATTATCATTCTGAATTTTCTCTGTATCATTGAAATTGCAATAACGTCTACCATTTTTATGCCTGTCTTCACTGATATTTTATACTCATATCATATCTTGTCATGAAATGCGTTTGCCATATTAATTTACAATCTTGTTTATACAGCTACCGAACTCGATACAAGCTTTATGCCTTTATACTTTCGGTAATTTATTCTCGAGACGGATTTGAATTTTACGCAGGATCGCTCGCTTTTCTTTTACGACGGATCAGATCCCTGGTTATTCGCTCGTAAACGGGAGCCGCAGTCTCTCGAAGTTGGCCCGAGACTCGCTCGTTTAATTGCTGTTCCCATATTTGCATGTAAATACAAATCGACCGATCGGTTGTCACCCTCGTTCACTTTTATGTTACATGATTCTCATATCGTTTTATATATTTCGTGTTAGCTTTAGATCCATTATTAGATGTTTCAAACACCCTTTATTATACATGTGCGATTTTATGAAATTGTTTTTTATGAAAGAAGGAAGTTCTGCACAAAATTTGTTTTACTATTATTCGTTTGCACTTCAGTTTTAATATCGTGTTCGTGCTGCTTTTTTCAATGAGAATTAGAGTCGCAATAGGATGAAAAATTCAGTAGATGAATAAATATACGCGACTGTAAATGGTTCTTCTCTGCCTGATGCTTCCTTTCATTTTTTCCTTTTGGTATTATGTTTCTTTACGAATACACGGCTCAGAACGCGTTCATTGTGCGTGCTGAAAGCTCTAGCAAGTAAAGGAAAAGACAAAGAGGCGGTCGTAACTTCGTGGTGGTCCCCGTCTCTTACTTCTCTCAGCGTCTCACAGAAAACGAGATGAAATCCCAAATGCTTCTACCAATCGTATAATATTTCCAGCTACGTTTTTCCATCGAATAAATTTTATTAGAAACATCATTCCTCCAGTAAATAAAATTGCGGTAACAATAATTCAGTTTTGATGAAATAAATACACAGCATGGTTATTATAAAATAATTATTGACTCGTCCTTTATTTCTGTAGATATAAGTAACAAACGATTTAATTCTCTCATTCTAAAATAATATCTTCTTTTCAGCTTTAGAGATATTAGTGTTCCTGGAAGAAAAAGAAATAAACTCGTGTTAGATAACAGATAAATTACTTGTTAGGGAATCTGGACTATCGTGTCCCATAATAACAGTTACGAACTCATTTACGAGACAGCTTAGAGTGGACACTCTGCAGAATGAGAAGGAACTATCCATTACTGCAACGTCCACTTGGAATATTAGGTTCGGGGAAAAAAAATCGGAGCGAGCATAAAGGTCTAATTGCTTAAAGGGAGATATAAGGGAGGTTCGACTTGATCGCGCCTTCTCGACGAATTAGAGCTTCCCCCTTTCAAAACAAACCCATTTCCTGATACTGGTCTCCAACCAGTTTAATTCAGAGAGAAAGTTCATTCTCCCTTTTCTTCCTTAGTTCATTCCAATTTATAGGAAGCTATAAGCCTTCGAGTTATATTCTTATGGCTTTTCTCCCTGCAGCTTTTCTTTTCTCATGACAATGAAAATTGTACTACCATCCTCGACAAGTTATTGATCAATGCACGGTATGATATTAAATAAGGACAATTTTCCAACACGTTTTATTGCATGCACAATAGTATTTTTAAACTTATATCGTCATTTATTATTAGCGTTTCTTTACCATTATATTCGATCAAAAGCTTGTACTGAAGGCTTAAATACAAGAGACGGTTTCTCGGCTTGCTTTGCGTTTATTCCGGTAAAGGTGTTCACGGTTGGAAAAAGGCGTCGATGACATTTCACGCCGCGCAAAAGGACGAACGTAAAAAGCAACTTGTCCGTTCGAAGACGATTGCTGCTGCCGTAAAAGCCATCGAACGAGGAAACATACCTGTTGTGTATCGGAAAACTTGCCACGCAAGAAAGAACGTGTACACCCACTATCCACACCTGTGAACACTTTCCATGAACTGATGTACAACGTTCATTATTTTCATGAAATAACGGGGCGATTAAACTTTATTACAGATATCAATGTACTGCAATTTGGTTTAAGTTTTTCCATTCCATTTTCTATAGGAAGTGCTATAGTAATTAATATAAATGTAAGATAAAAGAAAATCTTTTGAACAAATCAGTTTTGATTTGGTCTTTATTGAACGTACAGTTCGTACGAAATTTGTTTTAATAAATTAGAAAATTTGATTTACATCAACAATATAGCTTGGGGGTGGTTTCATTGTCTTTTGTTAACTTACGAACGATTTATGTATCCGTGATTAAAAAACTTGTGCTGTTAACTTCGTTGCATGGAAAACTCGGTTGAACCGTCGCGACGCTCGTCGCCGTTTGGCGAACGTCGAGAGGCATAAAGCGAGCGTGTAAATCTTTATAGCTCCGTAACCCGATTTTTATCCGCGACGTAAACACGTCACGAACATCCAAAATATTCGAGCGCTTTTTCAACGTTACAGACGAATCGTTCAAGTAAACGAGGAGTCACGTATACTCGGTAACAGTGCAAAATATTTTACGACGCACTCGATCTGAGAGCGGCAACTTTCACGAGAAAATTATTCTTTTCACGAATTCGTTGGTTTTACAACAAATAATTCAATTAACTCACCGGCGAATGCTAGTTGTTTGATAAAGAAGTCCATGCGCGTTTTCCGCCTTTTGCCCCAAAGCAGGCCAATTAGCACCGCGATATTACCCACGACTATCATCACGAACAGCAGCCACAAAACTGTGAATTGTTCCGTCTGCAACAGAAGAAAAGCAAGGAGAGAGTGTAACGAAACCCGATGTGAAATAACGATAGCCACCAGGGACACGCGTTATCCCTTTTGTCGAACCGGAAACACGATCCTTGTAATTGACTTGTCCGCGTGGATGAGCGGCAAAATCGTTTTTGTCTCGATAGCAGCCGTAAATCAACAGTTATTAGCAGTAATTACTGAACTGCAGATTCTTGTGCAAGATGAAACCATAGAGATGTCCATATTTTATACTCAAGGAGTGTCAGGTGGACACCCTTTTCGACAATTTTTCTATATACATATGTTTTGATCAAACATTATGTTGATTGTGATGGATTGATCGGTATCCTTTCATCATTCGTACATCGAAACGATTCATATACTTTTATATTATTCCATACACCGTATTTTCTGCACATTCAGTTTCTGTAAATGCATCAAATCTACGGTCTACTGATATCAAATGCTGATGGTATCTTTTCGGACATGTTAGTTGGGGAGCAATTATTGCATAGAATCCGTGCAGGGATTATTGGTTGCAGGACTCTGCCAGGATATTCGAGTGCGTGCCGGGCTCATAGGTGGCTCGCAACGGATTCTGCAGCCATAAATTTCAGTGTTAACGATCCGGGCAGCTCGCAATGAGATCTCGACATACTCGTGCGCCGAAATGGAAACTAATAATCTGGCATTGAGTTCAGAAGGGCGGAGGAGAACGCCACGAGCCGGAAGATATCGGGCATCGATTTTCCATAAATGACCGGTGTCATCGGATATGACCGTGGAAGAAATACGCACACAGAACTTTCCCTCGTTTTGCGGCTGACGCGCCACGCGAGATTTACGCTCCTCCCGCTTTTCGTCTGTTTCGCCAACTTTTAATAAAACCGGAACCTACAAGTTTTTCTTTGATATTCGCCAGAACACAAAACGAGACCGAACGAGTTTTAACTCCGACTGTCGTGGATAATTAATTTTCCCATTACTCTCCCCCGTGGCTTCTGACTTAACGAATGAGGATGATAAAATGGAACCGAATTCAACTGCTGTCTAGCAATTACGTTCCAATTATCAGGATTTCCAAGTAGTTATTGCTTATCTGCCATTTAATATTTATACGCGACGCGTACATGTGCTCAAATCTATATTCGCGTGGTGTGTGTTCCAGATTAAAAAATCTTGGTCCCAGATTGGATGAATCATGACGCTCTCCATGGAGACTTTTATTTCAGTCTCTATCTGATCGCAATCTCGTGATCGAATGAAACAAAAACTACTGGGAATTAGAGTGGGAGGTTGTCGCGTCATCGGGATATACGTGGGTATTGAATACGGAAAAAGAAGTAAATCGAAGAGGTCAGGTGAGTAGTCTCCACCTGTGAAAGGCGTGGATAACGTATCGCGGTGCACTTTTCTTAGCCAATTGGCTCTCTCATAAAATACCGCCATTCTGTACAGGCAACTTTTCCATTACCGCGCCGCGTTGGAAACATTTTGTTTTTAATCGAGCTTGATATGAAACTGAAATCTCGAATAGAATTAGGTAATCTTGTTAGTTGATTAAATGTCAATCACGCGAAAGAAACGTATCTCGATTCAGTGATTCGTGAAAGGCATGCGTGGAATCAACGAAACAAGTTATTAATCGAGCTCCAGCACTGGCCACCCTGGGAATAATCGATTTGGCCGTGTGCACTGTTTAAAAGAAAACACTTGCCTTGCCAGGTGGCGGCGGCCTGTAAATTCAACGAATAACCGGGTTACACAGGAACGTAATTGGGCCAATTACGGAACCATTAGACACGCCGAGCGCTGGGCATCGGAAGCGGTTCCTGCATTCACACGAATTGCTTTAGTTTCACTTGGACCTTCGCTGACTCGATTTAACCCGGCACACGTGAACTTTAAAAAGCTAAAACCATAAGTGTTTATAACTTTGATCTTTACCCAAAATATTTGTGAAACATTTGATAAATCTGACTTAGATAGGAATTTCTTTTATTCGTATTATACTTCTATAATTCAAATCTGTATTGTAAATGCAATTGCATTTAATTTATTTATAAACGAAAATTCATTAGACGATTAGATCATACATTTATTTCATTTTACAACTGATACGTGGCTACTGTGTATTCAAAATGAAAAGTAGATTTCTAGAAAGGCAGCGAGCTTATGGAATTCGATTTTGCGAATATTTTGGGACGGATTGGTGGGAAAGAGATTCGTCAGGCGGATTTCGAAGCCGAGGATTACACGTACTGACTGGAAGGCTTCTGGTATTTCCTCCCGAATGGCAAAATTGCCCTTCGGCGAGAAAATATCGCCGAATCGGGGAAAAAGACCACCCTCTTCTTTTTTCGTCTTCACTCAGTATTCGATTTATGTCTCTGGAAGCAGAAACACGTGTCGTTTGAAAATCACGTGCGCTCGCGTTTCATTCGATGGCACATGACGTTCTCTATAATTGATACTCTTGCCATCCATAATATACATAATTGATATATTCATTATGTATTTACGTTTGAATCTGTGAATTAATGTGAAATACCACCTGAAATTATTTTTGAAAAATTTATTTTAGTTTGACCATACGAATTCGATGAGCATTGTTTTATATGCAATTGGTAGTTTCACTTGAAATACTTCTTATTGATTTCTCAAATATCTATTGAACCTTCAAATTGCTAAAGACTAGTTTCGGTTAGGATGCTGGACCAAAGCCGAGAGGCGTCGAAAAGCACTTCTTACGCGATGCAATTTTAAAATAGCGGCCGTAAGATCTCGTTTCTTTATAACGCGAAGCAATAACGCGATATTACCATGCACTCTTCTCTCTCTTTACTCGTTTCCTGGTAACAATAGCAGCAAAACGCCTTTTTTCATTCCCGTAATCTCCACTTTCTTCATTTTCCAATATAGGAATACGACACTTTTAAGAAGCTTCTAAATACTTTTTTTAGTAATAATGTACTCAATCC